ATGTTTTATTACCACTTCTTCAATAAAACTGGCGCACAATGTGTCAATGTTGCGAGTTGACTCACACCATACTGTTACTAAGTAGTAGTGCAGTTTTCAGGAAAACGCTGCGAGAATGTTTTTTTCTGTGAAAATCAAAAGTAGGTCACAATTGTAAACGGCGGGGTAAAAAAATAACACTGAGCTGGTAATTACTCAATCAACGTCCTTTTTTTTTCTAAACGTTTAGACTGCGACTCTCCACGTTAGTGATGACATAACAGAACACCTAACATTTTATAAAGTCCCCGCAAGTAAAAACAATGGGGAATTTTGTGGAGTGTATACGCGATGTTCGTCGGTCAGGAGATATAGATAACACCACGATATAATTATCATTAAAAAAGTTTTAAAAAACCCACGTTTTCTGATTGAACTAAAAAGTAGAAAATAAATGCTATACATCACAATAATGCAAGCGAGCACTCTACTATAAGCGATGAAAAACGTGGGGCGCCGAAGTAAAAGTTTTTTATCGGTCATTGTTAATATAAGATGTAAAAGATATATTACTATTGATTAGATCATACTATTGACTTTTATTTGGGAGCTTGTAGAGAGTCAACAGTATTAAAAACTGTAAGAAAATCACGGCGCCCCACGTTTTTCATCAACATGGCTATATTGATCAACATGAGTAGGCCTATATTGGACAACATGAGTATATTGTTCATTGGTCAGTAGCTAAAGATAACACCACGATAAAAAAGATGATGAAACAAAATAGTATGTTTTTCTGGGAAAATATTGCTGTTGATTTATACCATGCAGTGCTGTATGATTGTAGTGTTTTATTATATCGTCAAAATCAAGGGTGTTGTACTATTAGTATATTGTCAACATGAGTATATTGGTCAACATGGGCATATTGGTCAACATAAGTATATAGGTCAACATGAGTATATAGGTTAACATGAGTATATTGGACAACATGGGTATATTGGTCATCATGGTATATTGGACAGCAAGGCTATATTGGACAACATGAGTATAGTGGACAACATGGCTATATTGGTCAACATGGGTATATTGTTGGGAGTCATGAACAGCCTTGTTTCTGGGTCTAATGCACTATCGTAACGAAGTTTCCTTATTAGGTGTTAAATTTAAAAAAATCAAGTCAATTTAAAAATGTGGGCGTGTATGGGGTTTTGCGTTGCCGTGGTTACTTTATCTATTAGGCATGCAGGCATACCTTCTAATTATGCAGGCATATCCTCTAATTATGCATGCGTAGCTTCTAATTATGCAGGAAAATGACTAAACAATTGTGCGTGTGAATATTTCAAAATGTCTGCAGAAAATATTCTCTTACGCTTGATATTTATAACAATAGCATCAACTGTGTAGTAATTATAAGAGCTGTGACAACATGAGTATAGTAGTCAAAATGAGTATATTAGTCAACATGGGTATATTGGTCAAAGGGGTATATTAGCCAACATGGGTATATTGGTCAAAGGGGTATATTAGCCAACATGAGTCTATGCATGGGATACATGAACACACTGCCTTGTATCTAAGTCTAAAGCTCTCATCACAGCGTGATTTCCTTATTAAATGTTACATTTAAAATTTAAAGTCAATTTTAAAATGTGTAATTCTATTGGGTTTGCGTTGTTGTGGTTACTTGATCTATCAGGCATGGAGGCATATCTTCAGAATAAATGACAAAAAAATTGTGCGTGAGAATATTTTATTTTTATTGACTTATTTTTACGTTTTCAAAATTTCTTCAGAAAAAAATTGCCTTATAATTAACTTCTATTACATTAGCCACCACTGTATTGTAATTATAAGAGTTGTGACAGTCATTGACCATACAATACACGACAATAGATGTTAACGTCGCTTATGTTACGCCAGAGATCCGCCTAAGTCTCGGACGAATTCGACACGTTGTTTCATTCTAGTGTTGTGTTGTGTCTCAACAGCTCATAGCTAGTGAGGCATGAATTCCCATTTATTTGCTAGAGAGCTTGCTTTGATCGAAGTTTAAATTAAAGTTTCCGTTGTTTTACGTTTAATTATGGCAGTGCTTTGTGTTAATTTAAGAACACGTAGATTGGTTTTGTTAAGATTTAAATACGTGTCACAATGTTTCCAAGCTTAGATAATTACACCGCCATCATTTATTAAATAAATGCGCAGAATCTAATTAGCCATATACTTTAAATGCATGGAGAAGATTCTGAGAATCGCGAATTTCCGCTGTTGTCATTTAGGCCTAAGCGAAACTAACGCCCGCTAAACTACGTATCATTACATCCGCATGGATGAATATAAGTAGCACCACTCGCTGATGAGCACACTTAGCAGCTGAGCCGGTGAATTGTTTGTATGCTCTTCTAGCAGGTCGGCGTTGTATTATGTCTATTTTGTGAGTAGTTGTAAGCTTTTTAAAAATGTAGTCTATTTCTCCCAGTTTCAAATTTGTGGACATGCATGTCGAAAACTTAACATTTCATAATGAATATTAAGAAATAAGGAATGTTCTAGAATGATAAATGTTCTAAAACCCGGGTTAAAATAATTTTTTTGTCATCAGAAAAGATCCATAATGATAATGTTTTATAATAAGGAAAGTTCGCTAATGAAGAATGTTCTAAAATAATAAATGTTTATATTGATAAATGTACTACAAAGAGAAATGTTTTATTTTGAGGAATGTTCTAGAGTTAGAAAAGTTCTAGAGTGAGGAATGTTCTAGATCTAGGAATGTTCTAGAGTGAGGAATGTTCTAGAGTGAGAAATGTTCTAGATCTAGGAATGTTCTAGATTAAGGAATGTTCTAGATTAATGAATGTTCTATATTAAGGAATGATCTAGATTAAGGAATGATCTCTAATGAAGAATGTTATGTTAGAACAAGTAGTCAGTTTCCTCTGGTAAGGTGATGCTATCATCTCTTGTAGCCACTCATATAGAATGGTAAGGTGATGCTATCATCTCTTGTAGCCACTCATATAGAATGGTAAGGTGATGCTATCATCTCTTGTAGCCACTCATATAGAATGGTAAGGTGAGGCTATCATCTCTTGTAGCCACTCATATAGAATGGTAAGGTGATGCTATCATCTCTTGTAGCCACTCATATAGAATGGTAAGGTGATGCTATCATCTCTTGTAGCCACTCATATAGAATGGTAAGGTGATGCTATCATCTCTTGTAGCCACTCATATAGAATGGTAAGGTGAGGCTATCATCTCTTGTATCTGTTAAATGATTGGTTTAATTATAATCACAAGATGGCGACTTAATTTTTACATTTTTTCAATCGGCGAGTTAATGGACTGCTAATTGTCGTGTGACTTAAAAAAAAAAAAAAAGAATATATTATTATGCACAGGCGTAGTTACGGTAAATCGAAAGTAAGCAAGGCGGCTCAGGGGGTTATTTTCCCACGTTTTCTTTAACTTGCTTTCTCTGTTTGTGTGTTTGTCTTTCCAATCAAATCTTGCGATCGAAATTTCTGGCACTTCCCAGTTAGCTAGCGCGCTGAAATTTTCAGGGAAGCTTTCTTTTGGATGACCATTGAATATTCAATTGTTATTATTACTAAATTGATCAATGGAAACATTTTATTGAGCATTTTAGACCGCTATATAATCTATATATATAATTCTCCTCTGCTAGCCATTAGAAAAAAAACCAGCGACGCGTACCTCGCGCGCAGTGAAGCGAACGATCACATGTCGCCACAGGCTTAGGGGCAGAGAATTTAGCTTGAACCGAGTTTAAACTTACAGGAGGTAGGCCAGTTTGGGGGAGACGATATGGTCGAGTGGTTGGGCACACGATTGCTATCCCACTCGACACGGGTTCAAATCTATGTGTTCTAGTCAGTAACGTATTCAAACAACGTGTTTTTTACGAGTTGTCTTTTTACGAGTTGTCTTTTTACGAGTTGTCTTTTTACGAGTTGTCTTCGTTTACCCAAAAAAAGTGAAAAGATAAAATCGATAGCAAGATTTTAATGCAAACAAACAGACAAAGACTAAAAAGTAGAAAATAATAATCATTAAAAAAGTTTTAAAAAACCCACGTTTTCTGATTGAACTAAAAAGTAGAAAATAAATGCTATAGGCCCTACATCACAATAATGCAAGCGATCACTCTACTATAAGCGAGCAAATACGGGGGGCGCCGTGATTTTCTTACAGTTTCTAATACTGTTGACTCTCTACAAGCTCCCTAATAAAAGTCAATAGTATTATCTAATCAATAGTAATATAACTTTTACTTCGGCGCCCCACGTTTTTGATCGCTTATAGTAGAGTGATCGCTTGCATTATTGTGATGTAGGGCCTATAGCATTTATTTTCTACTTTTTAGTTCAATCAGAAAACGTGGGTTTTTTAAAACTTTTTTAATGATTATTATTTCCTCTTTAAGTAAATTGAAGCTTTTACATTTCAATTATAGTATTTTTTTTTCTTTTAGTCCTCTTTGCTCCTTATGGAGCATAGGGCCTCCACCATTTTGTTTTGCATATAAATAATTTTAAAAAGAAAATAAAAATCCAGTTTCTTGTGTACTATAGAAACCATTTTAGGTTCCAAAAAGGGATACAGTTATTTCTTACTGTACCGGCAGTAGCATTTGGGGGGGGGGGGGGGTTACAGTGTCCTAGTTTAATAATAACACTGTTGTCGTTGCTGGATGGTTGGGCAAGACATTGACAAAATTAGTCTATAATTAAACTTGAACTTTGACTCTTCTGTGAGATTGGCACCGGCACCCGTAAATTTACATTCATCGCTACAAACCTCAACCAAATGGGAATTTCTCTTCCCGACTTTAAAGACACCCCCATTTGGACCACGCCTTTGGACGCTACTGTATTTGGTTTCTAAAAAAAATAACTTTAAGCCAGCAACGTTTAGACAAAACTATGGGTTAGTAGGCTTACATAATAATATACTTTAAATACATAATCAGAACGTATAAAACCCAGAATGTCCTGCAGACCATCTTTGAAAAGATAGTGGAGCTGACGTCAAAGGTTTGTAGAGATTGGCTCTGTCTTGCATCATATTTTGATCAGGAACCTCGAAGTTTGGTCGTAGACTGCACCAGCTACACCGACATTCACGATATCATTTCCCGGCACCCGAGAATGTAGATAGTCTCATTGCTGGGCCGGTGCTCAGATCTAAACATGGTGGTGCCCTGGTGGTACGATGCAGGGGTGGGGAGGGGGTCAGCAATTCTGGTTGAAACAGCACGAGTCTACTATGTTTTGATTGGGTGTAGTCGGTTGTTTTAAAATTAAGATAATATGTTTTGATTGGGTGTAGTCGGTTGTTTTAAATTAAGATAATATGTTTTGATTGGGTGTAGTCGGTTGTTTTAAATTAAGATAATATGTTTTGATTGGGTGTAGTCGGTTGTTTTAAATTAAGATAATATGTTCCAGTCAAACTAAGTAAATATTCCGTCCATACAAACAATAGAGGCAGCTTTGCTTTTAACTGTACATTTCATGCCGACCAATCTAGCTCTTTTAACTGCACATTTTATGCCGACTAATCTAGCTCTTTTAACTGCACATTTCATGCCGACCAATCTAGCTCTTTTAACTGCACATTTTATGCCGATCAATCTAGCTCTTTTAACTGCACATTTTATGCCGACTAATCTAGCTCTTTTAACTGCACATTTAATGCCGACTAATCTATCTCTTTTAACTGCACATTTCATGCCGACCAATCTAGCTCTTTTAACTGCACATTTTATGCCGATCAATCTAGCTCTTTTAACTGCACATTTTATGCCGACTAATCTAGCTCTTTTAACTGCACATTTAATGCCGACTAATCTATCTCTTTTAACTGCACATTTCATGCCGACCAATCTAGCTCTTTTAACTGCACATTTTATGCCGATCAATCTAGCTCTTTTAACTGCACATTTTATGCCGACTAATCTAGCTCTTTTAACTGCACATTTAATGCCGACCAATCTAGCTCTTTTAACTGCACATTTCATGCTGACCAATCTAGCTCTTTTAACTGCACATTTCATGCCGACCAATCTAGCTCTTTTAACTGCACATTTCATGCCGACCAATCTAGCTCTTTTAACTGCACATTTAATGCCGACCAATCTAGCTCTTTTAACTGCAGATTTCATGCCGACTAATCTAGCTCTTTTAACTGCACATTTTATGCCGACTAATCTAGCTCTTTTAACTGCACATTTTTTGCCGACTAATCTAGCTCTTTTAACTACACATTTCATGCCGACTAATCTAGCTCTTTTAACTGCACATTTTATGCCGATCAATCTAGCTCTTTTAACTGCACATTTCATGCCGACCAATCTAGCTCTTTTAACTGCACATTTTATGCCGACTAATCTAGCTCTTTTAACTGCACATTTCATGCCGACCAATCTAGCTCTTTTAACTACACATTTTATGCCGATCAATCTAGCTCTTTTAACTGCACATTTTATGCCGACTAATCTAGCTATTTTTACTGCACATTTTATGCCGACTAATCTAGCTCTTTTAACTGCACATTTCATGCCGACTAATCTAGCTCCTGTAATTACTTTAATTTGATTTGTTTCTTCCTATTCAAATAAATGTTTGTCTGTTCACTTTTATTTTAGCCTATTGTGACGACTTTGTCAGTCAGTAAGTTTGTTTTTGTTTTAATATATAGAGATAGTGAATGCTGATTTGTTATATTGGCTACCTTCTTCTGTCTGACGTGTAAATACGTTAGAGATGATGCAAAAACAAGCACCTTTTTATTGATCTCCCTGGTAGAGTTAGGATAAAACTTGTTTTAGAGACAGTCGTGTTAGTGGTTTAAAACAGAAAAAAAAAACTGTTTTAAAACTATTATATTTTCTCCCTAGATCCCAAACTCAAGTCGAAAGCGGACATCCATCTGATCGTCCAGTCCCCCAGCACTGAGGCCGCCTTCAGATCAAAGATGGAGTTTGTCGTCAAACTCTGCAGGGAATATGACATAGATGACGTCAATGTGAGAGTGATTGTTGTGGGAAAAGTAAAGCACAGTCACGTAGATTCCAGAAACTTACAGGAGCAGACGATGTTTGAGCAGGTATATACCTGTCCAAAGTCTTACGCAATTCGTCACTTCCCCTCCCCCTCCCCACCCCTCAAGCTTTAACTTAAAATTGTTTGTCCACATGTAAAAAAAAGGCAAACTGTTTTTCAGGCACCAATCAACACAGGCTACTTGGGCCACTGCAAAGGAGCATCAAAGGCCTTGAAAATGGCCAGGAAAAACTACATAAGATCCTATGGTGGCCGCCCAGGGGTGAAGAAGTTGGCCATGATTCTGAACGTGGCCAGCGACTGTGGGGACGAAACCTCGGCTGTTGATGAAGCGAACAAGATCAAGCTGATGGTGTCTGAGGTTGTTGTCGTCTCAGTTGGTGCCGCTAACCGGACATTCCTTGACCGTCTGGCGTCAAGATTTGACAACGTCTTGACCTTCTCTAGTGACCTTGAGATGATTGAATGAGCCATCGGACAAATTAAAATCATCACGGCTAGTGTTGGTACGTTTGTCACGTGTAACTTTAAATTGATTACACTGGCGTCATTACATTGATTACACTGGCGTCATTATATGATAAATTTATTAGATTGACGCCATTACTTATTAAATTGATTACACTGGCGTCATTACATTGTAATTGATTGCACTGACGCCATTACATGTTAAATTGATAACACTGGCGTCATTACATGCTAAATTGATTACACTGGCGTCACTACTTGCTAAATTGATTACACTGGCGTCATTACATGCTAAATTGATTACACTGGCGTTATTACATGCTAAATTGATTACACTGGCGTCATTACATTGTAATTGATTACAGTGACGTCATTACATGTTAAATTGATTACACTGGCGTCATTACATGTTAAATTAATTACACTGGCGTTACTACATGTTAAATCGATTACAATGGTGTCATTACATGTTAAATTGATTACACTGGCGTCATTACATGTTAAATCTAACGGGCTGAAACTACTTGCAAGAATGTGCTCATTTAACGAATTTATATTTCGCTAACAATTTGAATCTTTACAGTTTTAACACTCAGTAATGCGACAGACAAACTCGCATTTCGCAAATCACCCACAGGTCACTGTCTGAAGCCATGATATTTAAGCGAACCAGAGTTTCACAACTCAGACCAGTCGTTAAAGAGACTAGTGCTTTAATTTTAGGTACCCGCACTGATGTCTCTCACCTGACGTCTCTCGCCTGATGTCTCTCACCTGACGTCTCTCACCTGACGTCTCTCACCTGATGTCTCTCACCTGATGTCTCTCACCTGACGTCTCTCACCTGACGTCTCTCACCTGATGTCTCTCACCTGATGTCTCTCACCTGATGTCTCTCACCTGATGTCTCTCACCTGACGTCTCTCACCTGACGTCTCTCACCTGACGTCTCTCACCTGACGTCTCTCACCTGACGTCTCTCACCTGATGTCTCTCACCTGACGTCTCTCACCTGACGTCTCTCACCTGACGTCTCTCACCTGACGTCTCTCACCTGATGTCTCTCACCTGACGTCTCTCACCTGATGTCTCTCACCTGATGTCTCTCACCTGATGTCTCTTACCTGATGTCTCTCACACAACTTGAAAATTTGTAACAGACGCGGCGCAAGCTTTGCCATTTAAACATGAATTAACTAATTGACTAAGGTTTGGCAATTTAATTTAGTCTGTCTGTGCATCAGATATTTTATTCTCCTGTGCATTAGGTATTTTATTTTGTCCGTATTCGCATCAAATATTTTGTGTCCGTATTCGCATCAAATATTGTTTGTCCGTATTCGCATCAAACATTTTTTGTCCGTATTCGCATCAAATATTTTTTGTCCGTATTCGCATCAAATATTTTTTGTCCGTATTCGCATCAAATATTTTTTTGTCCGTATTCGCATCAAACATTTTTTGTCCGTATTCGCATCAAATATTTTTTGTCCGTATTCGCATCAAATATTTTTTTGTCCGTATTCGCATCAAATATTTTTTGTCCGTATTCGCATCAAATATTTTTTGTCCGTATTCGCATCAAACATTTTTTGTCCGTATTCGCATCAAATATTTTTTGTCCGTATTCGCATCAAATATTTTTTTGTCCGTATTCGCATCAAACATTTTTTTGTCCGTATTCGCATCAAATATTTTTTGTCCGTATTCGCATCAAATATTTTTTTGTCCGTATTCGCATCAAATATTTTTTGTCCGTATTCGCATCAAATATTTTTTTGTCCGTATTCGCATCAAATATTTTTTTGTCCGTATTCGCATCAAATATTTTTTTGTCCGTATTCGCATCAAATAATTTTTGTCCGTATTCGCATCAAATATTTTTTTGTCCGTATTCGCATCAAATATTTTTTGTCCGTATTCGCATCAAATATTTTTTTGTCCGTATTCGCATCAAATATTTTTTTGTCCGTATTCGCATCAAATATTTTTTTGTCCGTATTCGCATCAAATATTTTTTGTCCGTATTCGCATCAAATATTTTTGTCCGTATTCGCATCAAATATTTTTTTGTCCGTATTCGCATCAAATATTTTTTTGTCCGTATTCGCATCAAATATTTGATTTCCTCCCTATGTGCATCCGATATTTTATTTTTTCAGTCTGAAGTTTCCTCCCCCCCCCCCCCCCCCCACCCCCATCCTACAAAGTTTTTGATAACATAAACTTATGTCAGGTTGGCGGAAACACATTTTGGCGCCACTGACTGAAACACATTTTGGCACCACTGACTGAAACACATTTTGGCGCCACTGACTGAAACACATTTTGGCGCCACTGACTGAAACACATTTTGGCGCCACTGACTGAAACACATTTTGGCGCCACTGACTGAAACACATTTTGGCGCCACTGACTGAAACACATTTTGGCGCCACTGACTGAAACACATTTTGGCGCCACTGACTGAAACACATTTTGGCGCCACTGACTGAAACACATTTTGGCGCCACTGACTGAAACACATTTTGGCGCCACTGACTGAAACACATTTTGGCGCCACTGACTGAAACACATTTAGGCGCCACTGACTGAAACACATTTTGACGCCACTGACTGAAACATATTTTGTCCATCTGTTTCAGCTCCCAAGTACGCTCCGGTTGCTGACATTTATTTCGTCATCGATTCTTTTGGAAGTATCGGCGACGTCAGTTACGCGAAAGAGCTGAACTTTGTTGTGGAGCTGACGGAACATTTCAACATTGGCTACACGGCTGTTCGCTTCAGTGCCATGCTGTTCTCAGATCGACACAGATGTTGTTTACTCTAGAGACACAGACACACGCCAGCATTAAACAGGCAGGTACAGCCTCTGTTGTGTGCGGGCTGCTGTAACTAGATACACAGACACACGCCATTATTAAACAGGTAGGTACAGCCTCAGTTGTGTGCTGTAGCTAGATACACAGACACACCAGCATTAAACAGGTAGGTACAGCCTCAGTTGTGTGCTGTAGCTAGATACACAGACACACGCCATCATTAAACAGGTAGGTACAGCCTCAGTTGTGTGCGGGCTGCTGTAGCTAGATACACAGACACGCCAGCATTAAACAGGTAGGTACAGCCTCAGTTGTGTGCTGTAGCTAGATACACAGACACACACTAGCATTAAACAGGTAGGTACAGCCTCAGTTGTGTGCTGTAGCTAGATACACAGACACGCCAGCATTAAACAGGTAGGTACAGCCTCAGTTGTGTGCTGTAGCTAGATACACAGACACACACTAGCATTAAACAGGTAGGTACAGCCTCAGTTGTGTGCGGGCTGCTGTAGCTAGATACACAGACACCCGCCAGCATTAAACAGGTAGGTACAGCCTCAGTTGTGTGCTGTAGCTAGATACACAGACACACACCAGCATTAAACAGGTAGGTACAGCCTCAGTTGTTTGCGGGCTGCTGTAGCTAGAATGTATCACAACACTGATATAATCTATCACAACACTGACGTCATGTATCACAACACTGATATAATCTATCACAACACTGACGTAATGTATCACAACACTAATTTATTAATAAAGTAAGAGATGGTTTGGTCAGCTGGTTGAGCAGACGTGAGACGACTGCTAACCTGAAAGTCTCGAGTTCGAATCCCGGGTTCATGTCAGTAGTATGTCTCTAAGTCCACCCAGCTCTGATGGGTAACTTACTCATGTTAGAGAAAGTAAAGGCGGGATGGCATAGTGCTGACCACACGATCCCTTCATAAGCCGAGGTAACTGAAACAGGTGAACTCTACTTCACCTGCCCCATGGACCGTCAGATTAGAAAGGGTACTTATAACAAAGATATAAAAAGATTATTATTATATAAAAATATAACAAAAATTATATTGTCGCCGTTTTCAGTACCGATGTCTATAGTTACCGAATTTTTTCTTTAAATACTGCCTTTTCTGACGGACGGTTCAAGGAGGAATTCAAGTTTAAAATCATCTGTTTTGCTGAACTCTAAATACGAAGAGTTAATGTAGTTAATTATCCTACAGGCAATACTCTATACTGAGTGGCTTCAAATGTTTGCTTCTGGTCAGGTACTAATTAGAGCTGAGTGGATTCAGGGAAGTGCTTGTGGCTAGAGACTGTAAATTAAACATTTTCTTAATTTTTGCAATACTGAGCTCTTTTAACTTGTTGTAGTGTACACAGTGCTACACTTAAGTGCACTGTGCTACACTTAAGTGCACCGTGCTACACTTAAGTGCACTGTGCTACACTTAAGTACACAGTGCTATACTTAAGTACACCGTGCTACACTTAAGTACACAGTGCTACACTTAAGTGCACCGTGCTACACTTAAGTACACAGTGCTACACTTAAGTACACAGTGCTATACAAAGTATATAGTGCTAAATTTTATGTGTTCACTGCTGCACTCAATTGACGTACATACTAGTACAATTACACTTGTACAACCTGCTGTACACACTACCATTCACACTGTGCCAGATAAATACCAGCTATCACAAGGACGTCATCATCAATCTAATGAACAAATTAGGGCAACAAATCTGACTTAAAGATCACATTTAATTAGAGCACCAAATCTGACTTAAAGAACACATTTAATTAGTGCATTAAGTTCGATACATTTTACACGACCAACTTTTTATTTATTTTCTAAGATCCTCCACCCGTCATTAAAACGGGGTCATAGAAACAGCTTAACTCTACTTCATCTATCCTACTGACCTTTTGAATTAATTACGACTCAATGTTTAAAATAAACCGGGAGAGATCTCCCCTAAACTTTCTCGATTATTCTAATATAACACTACGGGGGATGGCAACTCGGGATATAGACTTCTAGACATGATTTTTAATCCATTTTAAATACTCAAACTTTTTAAAATAGAATATAATTTCGTAGAAAAAAGAATTGCACACTAAGTGAACGCTAAATAAAGATGTGCATAAAAGTGCGCAATATTATTAGTACTTTATAAATTTACATGCGTTTTTGGAGAAATCGGAAATAGCGTAAATTAGTACTTTCGGTCAACGGAAGTTACTCAAAATTTGACAGAAGGTAGAAAATTACATCTTTTACTTACATATCAAATTTCATTTATCTATCTGAAATAGTACTCAAGCAATAGGCTTTTGAAAAATTCAAAGTAGAAAAAGTACCACTTTCGGTTATCGGAAATCGCTCAAAAGTTGATACGGATCTACGATTTTGATAAAAAACTTACATATGAAATTTCATCAACCTAGCTGTAACGGTACTCAAGTTATTGTGTTTACACACAGACACACACACACACACACAGACAGACAGACACACAGACATACGGACAAGATTGCAAAATTATGTTTTTCCGTATCAGTTAGGTGTAAAACGATTACAAGACTATACTTCGAATATATGAGAAAGTAAAAATTGTGTTTCTTTAAATCAAGTTCTTCTACATTAGTTTCCATCAGTTAAAAAGTTTCCTCAAAGATTTAGTCTACGAATGTACATTTCAGCTCTGAAAGTGAAAAACCTTAAAATTAATGTTTTTTTAAAATTCATTAGATGTCATTACTTTTATGTTAAACTTGAGAAGCAAAGTAAAATCTAGATGTCTTTTCACAAATGAATATTAAATTGACTCAGAAAGGTACATAATTCAAGTTTCTTAAGTAATTTTCTAATTTAACTGTTACTTCCCATATACCGTAAAGTTAAAAGCTTTATTAAATTACTTTATTTCGTTTAAAACTTTAATGTCACGAGAAGACATCTGTTTTAAATATTTTTTATTTAGCATCTTTTGGGCTTTTAAATGTATCCATATTTTAATACTATTTATCGTTAGATGAAATACTAGCATAAACTCGCACTTAAAACTTTAGGTTGCCATAGAAACAAATGTGAGAATAAAACCATGTTAAATTCCCAATAACTATAACATTTTTCAAGCAAAAAAAAAATTGATTCAAATGTATGCTTTTCTACAAAGATGTACGTTTCTCACGTTGTTTTTTTTAAATTGCAATAACTTGTATACATTTTAAATACAAAATTTTACGCAAAATAATATACACAATAAGGTGATGACACTACATAGACACAAATATTTATTCGAACAAACAGAACAATGTAGACATTGTAATGGTTAATTCATGTGAAAAATTTCATTTTTGTGTGACAATGACTAACAGAAACTTAGGGATTAAAATTGTGGAAAATGTGTAAATATAAGAAATAATAAAACGGTGAAGACTAAGAAATGGAACTGTTATAAAAATATTACAGGAAACGATTAAAATAGCTTGTGGTCTGTGGACCTTAATAGCTGCATTACACTTTACAGGTTTTTATTTGCCTGCTATACACTTTTTTTGTTAAAAAGTTAATTCAGTTATAAAGACCCATAACTACACTGTATTAGAAAAATGTAGAAAACCATTATAGCCGGGTAGTTTGTGTGATGAGGATTTAAAGTGTTTAAATTAAGTTGGTCTGGCTAAGTCTACTGATTAATGATTACTTTTTAGATCTATACACATACATTGATCTAAGTCTACTGATTAATGATTACTTTTGAGATCTACACACATACATTAATATAAGTCTACTGATTAATGATTACTATTTAGATCTATACACATAAATTAATCTAAGTCTACTGATTAATGATTACTTTTGAGATCTATACACATACATTGATATAAAATAAGGCAAAAACAAAATAAAGCATTTTTCACATACTCTGAGCGTAAAGCACATGCAACAAATTCCCATGGATATGGTGTCGTGTTGAGTGTTGTAAGTCAATGTGAATTCAGCTAGGTCGGTTGTCAACCGGTGCGGCACCTTTTGGTGTCGTCCCCCCCTTCGAAATTTGAAAAATTATGGAAAATATAATTAATCATTTTTCTTCAATTTATTTTGCAAAGCTTTAGTCTTGGTGTTACCCGGTGTGATAATAATTAGATATCTGACTTTGTGTTATAATAATTAGATATCTGACTTTGTGTGACATAAAACAAAAAATAATTACATGGACACAATTTTAAATTATTTAAAGGTAAAGTATTCATGTTTCTTAAAGATATTTTCTATTTTAATTGTTATTTCCCTTTGACCGCTGTTGGCATTGTTTTTAACCACCTACTCGTTGGTTCAAGCTTTTGTCTGTTTACAACAGACACGACATAAAAAAATTGTTTTTGTTTCATATGTTTAATGGTTTTTCATATGTCAATATGTTGATATAATTTTCTTTATAGACGAAAATAGCAGAAAGATTTTTCTAGAAGTTCAGGTTGCTATTGATGTGATAATTAACTCATATTCAATTCACTAATACATTTTATAGATCCAAACTTTAGCGTCAATATTGAGAGTAAAATTTAAAGTTCCGTTACAAACATGGCGATCTACGGGAAAGGTGAAGTAGAGTTCACTTGTTTTTGTGACCTCGGTATATGAAGCAGCCTTTACTTTTCCTAACGTGAGTCAGGTACCCATTAGAGCTGGGTGGACTCTGGGACGTTCTACTGACCATGTTCCAACTTTAGCGTCAATATTGAGAGTCGCTAGATCCAAACTTTAGCGTCAATATTGAGAGTCGCTAGATCCCAATTTTAGCGTCAATATTGAGTCGCTAGATCCCAATTTTAGCGTCAATATTGAGTCGCTAGATCCCAATTTTAGCGTCAATATTGAGTCGCTAGATCCCAATTTTAGCGTCAATATTGAGAGTCGCTAGATCCAAACTTTAGCGAAAATATTGAGAGTGGCTAGATCCCAACTTTAGCGTCAATATTGAGAGTCGCTAGATCCTAACTTTAGCGTCAATATTGAGAGTCGCTAGATCCAAACGTTAGCGTCAATATTGAGAGTCGCTAGATTCAAACTTTAGCGTCATTCTTGAATCGCTAGATGCAAACTTTAGCGTCAATATTGAGAGTCGCTAGATCCAAACTTTAGCGTCAATATTGAGAGTCGCTAGTTCCCAACTTTAGCGATAATATTGAGAGTCGCTAGATCCAAACGTTAGCGTCAATATTGAGAGTCGCTTCACACAAAATACAAACATATACAAAAATGAAAACGAGTTGATTTAAAACTGTTTATTTACAATTATATTGACATAATTTTTTTTACATTTTTATTCATTTACTCCCAATCCAACAATCAACAACTTTTTCTCTGATAAAAATAATGAGATAATTAATTAAAATTTTAATAAACTCTACAATAATGTCAAGAAATATTTTAAGAGCAGACTTGCAACAGGCGCCATGTTTGTTTAAAAAAAAATTGTAAATGTGTTACTTTTAATTTGATACTATTTGAAATTTGCAATATTTAGGCCTATCAATGTATAATTAGTTACTGTCAGCAATATTATATACATTGCTGTTTATTTAACTAAAGTACTCAATGACAGCTGATTGATTATGAATATTCAGTGATTTAGATTTAACCTGTTTTTTTCTCTCATAATCATTAGGTAAAAATGACTTCACTGACATGCTTAGCTTGCAATGTGGGGTTTGAGCATATTGCTCTAGGGCGGTTACACTACAAAACAGATTGGCATCGCTACAACCTGAAACGAAAGGTTGCAAATCTTGCTCCTGTAACATTGGAAAAATTTCAAGAACGCCAACAGACGCCAATTCGTTTGTTTGTCGAGTGGAAGGTTACTAAAAGCTAAATTTAAAAGAAAGAACACGGTAATTAACACTATACTTAACTAATTGCTATGTTTGTTTACATTCTAGAAAAGACAGACATTCAACAGGCGCCATGTTTGTTTACATTCTAGAAAAGACAGACATCCATCAGGCGCCATGTTTGTTTACATTCTAGAAAAGACAGACATCCATCAGGCGCCATGTTTGTTTACATTCTAGAAAAGACAGACATCCAACAGGCGCCATGTTTGTTTACATTCTAGATAAGACTGACATCCAACAGGCGCCATGTTTGTTTACATTCTAGAAAAGACAGACATCCAACAGGCGCCATGTTTGTTTACATTCTAGAAAAGACAGACATTCAACAGACGCCATGTTAGTTTACATTCTAGAAAAGACAGACATCCATCAGGCGCCATGTTTGTTTACATTCTAGAAAAGACAGACATCCATCAGGCGCCATGTTTGTTTACATTCTAGAAAAGACAGACATCCAACAGGCGCCATGTTTGTTTACATTCTAGATAAGACTGACATCCAACAGGCGCCATGTTTGTTTACATTCTAGAAAAGACAGACATTCAACAGGCGCCATGTTTGTTTACATTCTAGAAAAGACAGACATTAAACAGGCGCCATGTTTGTTTACATTCTAGATAAGACTGACATCCAACAGGCGCCATGTTTGTTTACATTCTAGAAAAGACAGACATTCAACAGGCGCCATGTTTGTTTACATTCTAGAAAAGACAGACATTCAACAGACGCCATGCTTGTTTACATTCTATACAAGAGCAGACAACTACCACTCCACCCACCGCCCACTATAATTTAATCCACCAGAGTTAACTCCACTGTGGGGATGTTCAGACGTCCAGCCCCACCCCAGTCTGTAGACCGTAGCCCCACTGCTACCTGGGCAGGTGGACGTTGTGTACGTGTACCTGATCCAGTCATCATCCACCACCTGCCTGTCCACCCAGTGACCTACAGAGACCTGCTTAGAACAGCCATGAGGATGTGACACTATAATGGTCAGCTTGTCCACATCTCTGCGACTCTTGTATTTGTCCTCTACTTTATCACATAGACCATAAAACCGCCCCCACATCTCCTTCAGTTTATCACCTAAATCTATGTCATGTGTCGCACAATGCAAGAAACACAAGTCTCTCTCGGTGTCTAACACATCCACCATCCACCCATAAATCTTGACCACTGGACTTTTATCATCATCAAACCACAACCTACAGCTGGACTGTCTCGCCTCACTCTCATCAAAAACCACATCCATCAGGCGCCATGTTTGTTTACATTCTAGAAAAGACAGACATCCATCAGGCGCCATGTTTGTTTACATTCTAGAAAAGACAGACATTAAACAGGCGCCATGTTTGTTTACATTCTAGATAAGACTGACATCCAACAGGCGCCATGTTTGTTTACATTCTAGAAAAGACAGACATTCAACAGGCGCCATGTTTGTTTACATTCTAGAAAAGACAGACATCCAACAGGCGCCATGTTTGTTTACATTCTAGAACAGACAGACATTCAACAGGCGCCATGTTTGCTTACATTCTAGAAAAGACAGACATTCAACAGGCGCCATGTTTGTTTACATTCTAGAAAAGACTGACATCCAACAGGCGCCATGTTTGTTTACATTCTAGAAAAGACAGACATTCAACAGGCGCCATGTTTGTTTACATTCTAGAAAAGACAGACATTAAACAGGCGCCATGTTTGTTTACATTCTAGATAAGACTGACATCCAACAGGCGCCATGTTTGTTTACATTCTAGAAAAGACAGACATTCAACAGGCGCCATGTTTGTTTACATTCTAGAAAAGACAGACATTCAACAGACGCCATGCTTGTTTACATTCTATACAAGAGCAGACAACTACCACTCCACCCACCGCCCACTATAATTTAATCCACCAGAGTTAACTCCACTGTGGGGATGTTCAGACGTCCAGCCCCACCCCAGTCTGTAGACCGTAGCCCCACTGCTACCTGGGCAGGTGGACGTTGTGTACGTGTACCTGATCCAGTCATCATCCACCACCTGCCTGTCCACCCAGTGACCTACAGAGACCTGCTTAGAACAGCCATGAGGATGTGACACTATAATGGTCAGCTTGTCCACATCTCTGCGACTCTTGTATTTGTCCTCTACTTTATCACATAGACCATAAAACCGCCCCCACATCTCCTTCAGTTTATCACCTAAATCTATGTCATGTGTCGCACAATGCAAGAAACACAAGTCTCTCTCGGTGTCTAACACATCCACCATCCACCCATAAATCTTGACCACTGGACTTTTATCATCATCAAACCACAACCTACAGCTGGACTGTCTCGCCTCACTCTCATCAAAAACCACATGTCTGGCTGTCTCCACATGAACCTCCCACCACACTTTGCTGGGTGTGTCCGAGTGGTCACATTCAGGACATGGACAAGTTCTGTAGGTCTCAAATGTCTGGTCCATCCCCTCTGTGTACTTGGTCACCCCAAACACCCTCCCAGTCCCTGTCCTCAGTGAGTTCTGTCCCTTGGTGTTGTAGCAAGGATATGGATCTTTAGTGCCTGGTACAAACTCTGGTCTGTCTGGACTGGTCAACTTAACGGCTATCCTGACAGTTAGGTCAGCAATGGCTTTTGTGTGGTCATACACATCTTTGTCATGGTAACCAGAAGGAAAATGCTCAAGACTTAACTGATTTACAGGTACAAAGTTTTTATGGCCAGGATTTTTCTTGCAGTCTGCCAGGTGTGTGTGTAGATCTACCTCACCTTGACCTTCAAGACATTCTTGTACTTCATGTGTACCTATACAGGTAAACAAAACAATTTTATTACTGTAAACATTTCATTGGCTGTTAAACTTTCACAAACATAAAACATGAAAACTATCCACAACATCCAACTGTCACAACCATCTCAACCATCACCATCTTAAGATACTCATCCAGTAAACATTTCAAACTACAGAATGTTCCAACATAAGGACTTCATCAGCACAAAACTTAGTAAGCATGTGTGAGCGGGTGAATGGATTATTTATTTTGTATTAATTTTATTTGTTGCGAATCTGGGAGTGCATGGTGGTCCAATGGGGAACAGGCCACGGGGTTCCCCTTCCGTCCGAAGTGGTCAGTATATAAACTGACCACTCGGGTAATTTCTTCCTTTTTTTGACCGCCAGAATGTAGGTCAGGTCAGCTTGGGTGGTCGCGCTTTGTGCGTTGGAGTGAGGTTGCTTGGGCAACTTGGCTGGGTGTTTTGTATATATTGTTTTGTACGTAATGTCCTCTACGTAATGTATTGTACGTAGTGGTTGTACGCTGTGTTTTGTGGGAGGTATTTGTTTGGTGTGGACTTTTGGATGTCGAGAATGGATGAAGGGAGGTTTCTGTGTGTCAGGGCCTGGACCATCCTAGACATCATAAGTCGGCGCAACACCAGCAAATGGTCAAACGTAATGTTTTGTTTGATGTAAAAAGTTTGTTTCGTTTGGTTCTGTTTTGTGTCAGTTTTATCTATTCTTTTTTTATAACTTTTGGTTCCATGCAATAAATTTTATTAAATTGTTAAAAGTTTTGTTTTATTTTAGTAGCTTATTATTTAGACTAAGGTTAGGGTTTAACCACTGTGGGTTCTACCACGGTTGCACTGACCGGACAGATTAGTTAGTTAAGCCTAGAAGGGTAGATTTTAAGGTATCCCCCCCTAGCAGGGCTTACAAATTGGTAGCACGAGTGGGGTCAGTGCTTTAGTCTAGTTAAATTTTTGTTTTTTTGTACTAGGGCTAGTGTAGCTTAGTTAAATTTTTTTGTTTTTGATAGGCCCTTTATGGAACCATATGTGTTTAGTTTTTGTTTAGTGTAGGAGTTGTTTGTTGTTAAAACACCCAGTCAGGTTGGCGGAGAGACGTGCCTCGACGAGCCTTCAGTGTGCGTGGCTGGACAAGGCACGGTGTGTGGCACTGGACCTGGCGTGTGATGAAGATGGCGGCATCGTGTGGTCTAGACTGGACAACACACACGGGCGTGGCGCGGATCTGGTGTGTACGGCAGACCGGTGAACAACGAGAGGCCTATGACGTCAATTCCTTGACCCACAACGAGGGCTACTGGACACCCGCCCCACAGGTGTGTCGAAGCGGAGGCACGATCGTTGGGGGCGGGTAACAGTCGGAGAGCCAGTGGGGCAAGGCGGTTGCGTCACCACTTGGCCCAACCAAGCGGACGCTCCCCACCAACGAGAGGCCAATGACGTCAATTCCTTGACCCACAAAGAGGGCTACTGGACACCCGCCCCACAGGTGTGTCGAAGCGGAGGCACGATCGTTGGGGGCGGGTAACAGTCGGAGAGCCAGTGGGTCAAGGCGGTTGCATCATCTCCGGACCAAACAAGCGGACGTTTTACCGGTGGTCTTACGCTGAGGCCAGAACCAGAACACGGTGTGTTGTGTAGTGGACCCAGGTGGACGGGATGGACAGGCAATGTGTGCCATTAGTAGCGGGCGGGTCTAGCCTGACCCTCCCCCCTTGCCCTTCCGGATGAATGACCGACAGGACTAGTAGCGCGAATCAGCCTTCAGTGAAGGGAGCACTATCTTGGTGCCTTGAGTTTTTTTAGGGAGCACAGGAGCAAGATTAATGTTAATGGAAATTGTTTTTTTGCATTCAAGCTTATAGGCTTGGTGTAAGAGATGGGTGCATGTTTTATTTTAAGATTGTTATATGTATTTTTTTGTCTTACAGGGACTGTAAGATTTTTAAAAGGGGTGAATGTGAGCGGGTGAATGGATTATTTATTTTGTATTAATTTTATTTGTTGCGAATCTGGGAGTGCATGGTGGTCCAATGGGGAACAGGCCACGGGGTTCCCCTTCCGTCCGAAGTGGTCAGTATATAAACTGACCACTCGGGTAATTTCTTCCTTTTTTTGACCGCCAGAATGTAGGTCAGGTCAGCTTGGGTGGTCGCGCTTTGTGCGTTGGAGTGAGGTTGCTTGGGCAACTTGGCTGGGTGTTTTGTATATATTGTTTTGTACGTAATGTCCTCTACGTAATGTATTGTACGTAGTGGTTGTACGCTGTGTTTTGTGGGAGGTATTTGTTTGGTGTGGACTTTTGGATGTCGAGAATGGATGAAGGGAGGTTTCTGTGTGTCAGGGCCTGGACCATCCTAGACATCATAAGTCGGCGCAACACCAGCAAATGGTCAAACGTAATGTTTTGTTTGATGTAAAAAGTTTGTTTCGTTTGGTTCTGTTTTGTGTCAGTTTTATCTATTCTTTTTTTATAACTTTTGGTTCCATGCAATAAATTTTATTAAATTGTTAAAAGTTTTGTTTTATTTTAGTAGCTTATTATTTAGACTAAGGTTAGGGTTTAACCACTGTGGGTTCTACCACGGTTGCACTGACCGGACAGATTAGTTAGTTAAGCCTAGAAGGGTAGATTTTATCTTGGTGCCTTGAGTTTTTTTAGGGAGCACAGGAGCAAGATTAATGTTAATGGAAATTGTTTTTTTGCATTCAAGCTTATAGGCTTGGTGTAAGAGATGGGTGCATGTTTTATTTTAAGATTGTTATATGTATTTTTTTGTCTTACAGGGACTGTAAGATTTTTAAAAGGGGTGAATGTGAGCGGGTGAATGGATTATTTATTTTGTATTAATTTTATTTGTTGCGAATCTGGGAGTGCATGGTGGTCCAATGGGGAACAGGCCACGGGGTTCCCCTTCCGTCCGAAGTGGTCAGTATATAAACTGACCACTCGGGTAATTTCTTCCTTTTTTTGACCGCCAGAATGTAGGTCAGGTCAGCTTGGGTGGTCGCGCTTTGTGCGTTGGAGTGAGGTTGCTTGGGCAACTTGGCTGGGTGTTTTGTATATATTGTTTTGTACGTAATGTCCTCTACGTAATGTATTGTACGTAGTGGTTGTACGCTGTGTTTTGTGGGAGGTATTTGTTTGGTGTGGACTTTTGGATGTCGAGAATGGATGAAGGGAGGTTTCTGTGTGTCAGGGCCTGGACCATCCTAGACATCATAAGTCGGCGCAACACCAGCAAATGGTCAAACGTAATGTTTTGTTTGATGTAAAAAGTTTGTTTCGTTTGGTTCTGTTTTGTGTCAGTTTTATCTATTCTTTTTTTATAACTTTTGGTTCCATGCAATAAATTTTATTAAATTGTTAAAAGTTTTGTTTTATTTTAGTAGCTTATTATTTAGACTAAGGTTAGGGTTTAACCACTGTGGGTTCTACCACGGTTGCACTGACCGGACAGATTAGTTAGTTAAGCCTAGAAGGGTAGATTTTAAGGTATCCCCCCCCTAGCAGGGCTTACACATGCAGGAAATTACCTTTTTTAAGACCAATTTTCTCCAAACAAATGGACATTACCTTTAAAATATGTTGATAAGTCCTCTCCACTGACCATACTGTTGTGGACATCTAGACTATCCTCTCCACTGGCCATACTGTTGTGGTCATCTAGACTATCCAAGTTAATTCCTGTTAAATAAACCACAACACAAAGATTTGACACATTGTCTACATCAGCACTAAACCATGGCTGTACACTTGATTAAGTTAAAAGATAATTAACAAACTTACCTGTAACTTAATTTGACAGATCTCTACTGGCCTTTACTGTAGTCTTATGGTCATCTGTGGCAGCTGTTTGATTGAAATAACCTTGACCTTTACATCACATTCAGCAGATGTCAGTCACTCTGAAATAGTTAAAAATATTTTGACTTTTTAAAGAAAGAAGTTTATTATATGGTAGCTTGACTAGTCATCAACCAATGTTTCTTTACAAACTACATAACAATAGCCACTGGTCAATGATATGGCAAACAGAATTCAGTATGATGGTCAACTTTAAAAGATTAAGATTAAATACATTGAGACCAACATACAACATATAATGTAACTGACCTTTGAACTTCCCACTTGACTTTAAGACAACACCAGACAGCACACACCACTATGGAAGATCCTTCAGGCTCTGGAGAGAAAAATAAAATTAAAGTGGAACTGTCATTAGCATAGAACTACAGAATGACAACTTTTATGATGGAACTGTCATTAGCATACAACTACAGAATGCCAACATTTATGATGGAACTGTCATTAGCATAGAACTACAGAATGCCAACATTTATGATGGAACTGTCATTAGCATAGAACTACAGAATGACATTTATGATGGAACTGTCATTAGCATAGAACTACAGAATGACAACATTTATGATGGAACTGTCATTAGCATAGAACTACAGAATGACAACATTTATGATGGAACTGTCATTAGCATAGAACTACAGAATGACAACATTTATGATGGAACTGTCATTAGCATAGAACTACAGAATGCCAACATTTATGATGGAACTGTCATTAGCATAGAACTACAGAATGACAACATTTATGATGGAACTGTCATTAGCATAGAACTACAGAATGACAACATTTATGATGGATTATGAAAAGAAGAACACAACATGTTTCTTAAAAAAGGTTTTTGCTGAAGACATTACTGAGAATAGTTTTTATTTTCCTGGTAATTTTAAATGAAGTCTTTTATAAAAAATATACGGCTGAGAATAATAACTTATGGTAATAAAAGCATTTATTGTGACTGGGGAGTGAGGTATAGATTGAGAGAGCAGTGCCATTCTTATTGTGTTATATTTTCATTAAAAATATGGTTTAAGATTAGCTTTTAGGTTCATGTTTGC